CCCATACCCTTCCACATCCCAAATTTCATCTTCTCACTAAACCTGTCATCACCTAGCTTATGCTAATAAGCAATAGGACCATGGTTTAGAGTTTTGTACCATAGAAGAACATAATTATATAATTCCTCTGACCCTTTTGTAGAAATAACAGACATTCACCAAAACCTTTCCCCTTCTTTAGTTTATCAATAGTCAAAATATACTTCTTGTCAGCCTCCCATGCAAAAAAAGAAACACAGGATGGAACTCTTGTTTTCCAAATCTGTCTAAACCAGAGAATATAACTATTACCATCATACTCGTATAGCTGCCTATAGAATGACTTAACTATGGAGGACTAATTCGTAGTAAGGCTCCACAGAGGCATGTCATTGCTCCCATCCAACGTTACATAGAATAGAACCCTTAACAAATTCTTGTATTCGCCAATCTGCCAGCCATTCAAGTTTTCCCTACACTAAACCCTATTACTTTTTCTCCTCCTCCAATCTCCACAACTACACCACAAATCTTAACCTCTTTCTATTGAGTTTTAGCATAAATCTGAGAAAACTGATCTCTAAATGAACCATCCTCCAACCACGAATCCTTCCAAAATTTGATTTGGAAAGGTTGATACTAAGCCTTGAAAATGCTTGAAATCCTATCTAAACACACCTTATATTTAACATAGCTCTCCTTTTTGGTTCACATAAGAGCATTGCATCATTAGCAAAAAAATAGGCCGGTAATGTCCTCAATCTGAACCCCCATTCCAATCTTCAGGCCTCTGAATAACTCACACTCCCTAGTTCTATTATCATATTATTCAAAACTTCCATGACCACAATGAGGAGTAAAAGTAATAGGGGGTCACCCTGTCTTAACTCTTTAGATGCCTGGAAGAAGGTCGATGCACCACCATTAATAATCAGTGCAAATGAAGTAGTAGTGATACGCGTCCTAACCCAACATCTCTATTTCACCAAAAGCCCAACTTCTCAAGCATGTAGTCAACAAAACCTCAACTAACATAGTCGTACACCTTCTCCATGTCTAGCTTGCATAGCACCTCATCCCTCTTTCTAAATTTCAACTTATTTATCAGTTCGTTAGTGATTAAGGCAGCATCAAGGATGGCCTCCCATCCACAATTCTTCACATGTTTCATAAAGTAAACAGAGTTGACTATTAGGGACATTTTATATACTTGGTAGACTATAGTTAAAAAGTATTCAACAAAAGATTTTGTGCCTTTCCCAAGTCTAAGCTTTTCAGAGTTATTTGAGGAGTGTTAGTTCAAGTTCTGCTCTAATAAGAGAAGAGGCTTGCTTTCATTTTCTTATGGGCTTCCTTGCTTGATCGAAGCCTTTCTTCCTTTCTTATCCATTCTTGAACAAAGAGTGAAAAGATTTGTTTGAGTCTTTTAACTATTCTTTTTGTAATAAACTCATTTAACATCATAATACTCTTCCCAAGTGGTCCAAGTTCATCTAAATTACTTGGATTTTATCTTAACACTCATGGCCATATGCCTTTTCTCTTGAATGGACTTGCCGCATGCTTTCTTCTTTTTGTTGCCCATGAAGTCCTCTTGGCTGCCAATATCTTTCTCTGATTGACTTGAATTATATTTAGGATGACTTATGCCATCCATGTTCAGATTATTCCCTTATTCCTCGAAAAGATTTGTCCTTGAATCTGGACCTAAATCAAAATGAGAAAGATTAGAAACGTTAAATATAGCAGAGATAACATATTCACCTGACAAGTTTATTTTGTAGGTATTGTCATTAATATGCTTAAAAACTTGAAAACGACCATCTCTTGTAGGATCCGACTTAGATTTTCTTTGTTTTGGAAATATTTCATTTCTCATATGTACTAGACCTAATCACTAAGTCGAAATATGACTTGTTTTCTTCCTTTATTGGTGTTACAAGTATATGACTCGTTTTCTTTTCTAAATGTTATCGCACATTTTCATATATAGCCTTAACTAATTACGCACTCTATTGCCCATCAGTATTAGAAAGTTCCTACAATAGTAAAGGCGTTAAATCAAGACGGGTCAAATGATTAAAACTTACACAATTTCAAAAGGTGCTAAACTTATGGAAAAGTGAATATTCATATTATAAGCAAATTCAACTAAAGGTAAACAATCCTCCCAAGTTTTTAAATTTCACCTACCAACAAGATTTATCACTTTTATTTGTCCATCTATTTGCAGATTACAAGTAGTAAAAAATAGTAATTTAATATCTAACTTGTTCCGTAAGATACACTAGAAGTGACCCCAAAACTTGACATCTTTATCCTTGATAATAGTCCTACAGATAACATGTAAATGAACAACATCCTTAAAGAATAAATTAGTGATATTTATTGTGTCGTCTATTTTATGACACGTAATGAAATGTACTATTTTATTGAATCGATCCATTACAATAAATACCCTGTTACTCCCTCTTCTAGTCCTTAATAGCCTTAAAATTAAATCCATAAAAATACTTGTCTAAGTTGCAGTAAGAATAGGTAGAATATTATATAAACCATGAGGTACAGACCTAGATCTGGCTTGCCTACATGTGATGAATCTTTTAAAAATTCTCTCTACGTCCTTTCATATATTAGGTAATAAAATGCTTATGCAAGATGTCTACAGTTTTAACTATCCCAAATTGTCTCATAAGTCCCCTATCATGTGCCTTATAAATTAGTAATTCCCTTAAAAAGCAGATATGCACACATAATTTTTCATCCTTAAGTAGAAAATCATTATCTATAAAACTTTTAGAATGCATCATGTTCATATGCCTTATAGAAATTAGCAAAATATTATCCTTTAGCACATAAATCCTTAATGTACTCTAAACCTAGCAATTTTGAACTAAATGTTGAGATTTAACATACCTTCTCAACAAAGCATTTGCTAGGACATTGTCTTTACCCTTCTTATATTTTAATCACATAGGAAAATGACTCGATAAATTCTACCCACATACTATGTAACGCCCCATCCTAAAGATGGGACATTACCACCACTAATCATCCCAATTTGAGAACATTCTCCGTCATGCTGCAAATATCTACCATTTCATTCTTCAGAAGTAACAATCACTCCCTATCAATTAAACTTCTATAGAGTACATGGTCAATTCACATAGTTCGATGTTATAACAATTATAATCTCAAGGTTGATATAGTGTGTGCACTCATATGTATCAAACAAGCATCTTATACTAGCGTGCGTCCATTCCTTAAGTGTGGGGCTCCATCGCTAAGCCTTCCGATTTCGACTTCGAAT